TTTTAAATTCAGTAACCCTTTGATGCCGCGGTCCGTTTATCAGGGCTCGCGATACACGGATAAGGGTAGCCCAATGGGACTCTAATTGTCCGATTATAATTGTAAAGTTGTTCCATCGCGCGCGCGCGGCTTGAAATATGCTTCTTATTTTCCTCTTCGCCGCGGAGAGACCGGACAAGTAAATGGGATGTAAAACACAGAGAACCGGAACGCTCGCGCTGCGCGATGGTTTGATTTTCTCAAACCAGGGATACGTTCAATGGAATCGCTCGTTAAATCGTAAAAATATTCTCCCGTCGAGATATCGACACACAGGTAGGAAACGATGAATAACGGAGAAATTCCTCCCCTCTATTGGTTTCGAAATCGCGAAAAAAAATGTTGCAATTAGGCGATGAAACACGTGTGGAACCGCATAATTAAAGCTCGATCGTAACGTTCATTGACCCAATCCGTGAACAGATAGGACGTTATCGGCGGGAGCGATTGTGATTTCAAAATCCGGCTCAGCAGCCTGTAACCACCGATGAAAGAGTATAAGGGGACTCTCTCGACGATGCTCGAGGTATTCGTCGACGAACCAGCCCTTCTAGGCTCGAATGATTCCCGCGTGCGGAATCAGTATCGAGAATCGTTCCCGTTTCTCTGGGCGCTTTCTAATCAGTTCTGAACCGGTTCGAATTCCATCTCGCACGATTGTCTCGGTGACCGTACAACGGACGTGGACGCACGGCCCGATTGTTTTTTCTGCCAGTATTGTACACGTTTAATTCTTTAATTGCCGCGAAAGCACTTTAGAACGCCCGATGATCGGCCAATAAAGAAGTATATATGAAATATTGTGAAATATGAGTTCATAGATGATGAAAAATAAGATAAAATTTTATAGAGGGCGTTTTTTCATGAATTATCGAACAAATTGAAATCTATCAATAATACATATATAAGGTGATAACTTTGAGTTTATTCAAGGTCGATGAATTTTTTTAATGCCGCGTCGTAGCTGATAATAAATCAATTGATCTTGCGGAAACTCAAAGTTATCTTGATATCTCAGAAAATATACAATATAAAAAAATGAAATTGCATCCGTCTGACGAGTCCCTTTAAACGCAACATAATCCATTTAAAACGTTCGTTGATACATTCAATAAGTAATGAGGCATTTTTCTTTAGGTTCCTTTTAGGGATATCCTGTGCATAATTTACACAAATTAATGCATAACATAATCACACGAACATTTTTTTCAAACGATCCTTGCATCTTCTTAAAGTAATAATCACATTGATTGTTCGTATCTTATTTCTGAACGAGACATTTGAGGAACACTTTCTCATCCGTCCAGATGAGTTGTTGATGATTCCAGTTAATTTAACTCGAAATATTCGACGTTCCACGATAATTTTCAATGAAAAATCATTTCCAAGAGTCGACCATCCCGAATTTCGTCGTTAGTCAAGCGTTCTCGCGACTAATTCGAAGAAGGAACCCTGTCGCGTTGGCGTAGCCAGCAGTCGCGTATTTCGCCGTCAATTAAACGCGCTATATGTATACTATATGCAGCCACACGCATCTTGTGCGTGTGGACGAGAAAGAGTTCATTAGTGGAGGCCACTCTGGTTCATGTACCGATTTTATCAGATTTTCTGTCCCGGTTGTATCCTTCCAGCTCCTAACGCCTCGCTCACGCGACCCTTCTAATACACAGTTAGAAGCCTTGGAAATGACAAGATGTTACGGTGGACTAATAATATTTTACCCCTTTAGGTGGATTGTTCTTCAATATTATTTCCAATAATTGTAATTTACTTGCGACACCTGCTCTCTTCGATAATTAGATTTGTCAATGAATCTCGTTAAAAATCACATTATTCTGATTCGGACTGGATTCAGAAATTGCAAGAATGGACTTTCGAAAATTTCTTCATTACATAACGGCATTATTATATTACGAAATTCTAATTTCCCACAGTTTTTCTTTCTAGGAGTAACTGTATTATGTGTGAAATGTTTGATTGTAAATTCAGAAATTCAACTTTATTTTAAGCCATTTTAACCCTTTGATTGTTCCTTAAATTGAATTCATTTAAAGAAGTTTGTAATGTAACACATTACAACCTTAGATTAGAAAACTAGCTTGTTCGTAAGTCTTTAGACATATTATTATGATGAACAGCGGTGACTCTCAGCAGTGGACGTCTATATGTATACACAGAGCACCTAATTACCTGACGTCTTAATAGTCCGAACTGTAGAACGAAATCTTGAAAACTGGTTGGGGAACATCGAGATGACTAGCGATGAAGCATTACCGTATTAACCGCATTAATCCTAAAAATAAATTGTTTCTGACTCATTGCCACGCGTAAATGCTTTTTAGTCAAAGTGGTATAATATCTCCATGGACCGCGGATATTATGAATATAAGTGTGACGTAAGGGAAAAAAGGAAGATATATTAATGCAGGAACTCGGTGGTAATTGGACCCGATAAATCTTTAAACACGTAACTCGTCGCGGAATATCGTCGGTTCTTCCGCGCGGGCATGTTAATCTCTATTCCGTTCGATAACGATAATGTCAATTTCATCAGCGTGCCCGCAAAAAAAACGTCAGCTTACAGGAAAGAGGGAACTTATAACAATGACCTCATTCTTTTTATCACGGTCGAGGCTAGCCTAAATGTTAACTGCTGTAGATCTCTATGTATTGAGCTACGACAAAATTTTTCAATGTCTGAATCGACGCTTTGAAACTTGGTCTTCAGTGAATCATTGAAAAAAAACACTTCGGATCCTAAGGCAGAAAGTACTGTTATATCGTTCAGATTTCAATGGGCGTAGTTAACCATCGTCCCTTCCCCATTCTCTCAACCTAATTGTCTCCCTCGGTGTCAAATTGATATAGTGTTAAATTCATATAATAAAGAGATAAATAGCTAAAATTGCATATTTTTGAAAAATAAAAGTCACGGAGCCTTAGCTGAATTTACCTACACATGATTGAATAACATCATTCCTTTGGAGAAGAATGTGTCAAATTATAAGAATGATATATTATATGAATTATATGAATGCTCAAGTTAAAAGATAATCATAGTACCATGAGAATTGAAGCTTTGGAGTTATTACGAATTTATTGGACCTTAAATCTTGAACATTTAAAATTGTAGTTCGAAAGGTTCTTAAGTTCCTTGGTTTCGAGTGGCCACACTAAATCGATCCGATTATCAGACGATACGCAAGTCGGAAGGTAGTTGTGTAAGTTGTAGCACCGCGAAAACGCCGCGTATAGACAGAGGAGGAGCTTGGCATAAGTCGATGCCTGCTGGCACGAATTCAATCGTCACGACACACAGCCGCGCGTGCCTGCGTGTGTACACGTCCTGCTCGGTCCTTCCACCACCACCACCACATGGCAAACCTCGACTGTCGTCATTGTCCTCGTAACGTCCCGTTTCCACCCACCGGCGCGTTGTCGATTTCTTGAAACATTTTCACGACGACCAATATTCTTGCAGCAACTGCAACATCAGTTTCTTGAATCGTCCGCCACATTCCGATCTTAATGACCAATTAATCTTTTCTCGTTTCGTCCCGTGCCTGAACGCTGTCGAACGTTTCTTGCAAAAAATCCTGTTCTGTCTGTCGCTCGAGACACGGCTTTTGTTTCGACTTTGTTCGCTGTTACAGAAGAATAAAGTGTTATTTCGAAATTTTCACTTTACCCGTTACGATCGATTGTCGAATGATTAAGGCAAGAAATGTGGTCCGTAAAATACAACGACCCTGGCGGCTCGTCTATTTGTGTGTCGCGATGTAAAGGCAATGACGCTTGCAGACTTCGGACATCTCAGTTTTTCGAATATAGGTATACATATGTATGTATACCCTAGAAGTATCCGTTTTTGTCGCGTCGAAAATAGTTACATACTTGTTCAACGGGTTTTTGAAACAAATGACCTGCTGGTAATTCCATATGTATGGAATCCCTTAAATTATTTCTATAGCCCGATGAAAACTAGGTTTTAGCAACAAAGTTAATTATATTCTGAATGACAGAGTATTTAAAAGTATAATATTCCACAAATATGAATAGATGGTCTTCGTGAGTTTCATTTGAAAGAGAAGTTCTTTTATAGCTTGAAACGTTACTCATCGAACTGCAGAATTTTGAACGATCGAGCGCCGATTTGACGAGGGTTTCCGGCGTTGAAAGAGGCGTCGATCCGTGGCCAGCTAGAGAGCAAGGCCAGCAAAGCAATCAAAGACATGATCGATGGCTCATTCGTCTGAATCTTACGGCTGATTGGACAATTAAACGAGAAACACGTAGGAGGACTACACTCTCGGGTACGCGCGAGGGGAAGGCCGCAAGGGTGAGGGCCCAGAAAAGGATATTTTAATTATCGTCGCGGGGGTATGCTCTGCCTTCGGGTTTCGAGCCGGTGTTATTGATTTTCCGTTGTATTAATTGCTACCACGTTCGATCGAACATGAAATCAACCCCTGAACCTGATTAGACACGTGGGGCTGCTTCTTCCTTATCGAGCATCGTTCTGTAATGGATGAAATTGAACGGCATTGATCGCCGAGAAATTTCAAACTTCGAGGGTTAGCTATAACCTGATTCTCCAATAAGCATTTGTTAATTCGACTAAAAAAAAGTTAAAATTTCTAGGATTAGTAAAATAATCAGAAGTAAGCCAACCAAAGGTTCGAGTAAATAGATCACGGGTACGGCCTAAGTATTAAGAAAAACAGAGAAACCTTGAAACTTGAAGGAACAGTGACAGTTTACAGGAAAAAGAAACCGAAAACACTTTTTTCTGTAAAAATGGGAACTATTCGATAGTAACGGTAGATTGATCACGAAAAAGCGAGTGATTCAGATCAGGATCCGAACGCGGGCCATTGTTTCTAATTTAATTGATTTTTTCTATGCATACAATTAAGACCAGACCGAGTAAGAACGCACCACAAGTTGTGCCTCACCCGTAGAGTATGTTTCAGGCAAGGAGCAGGGAATGCCAGCGTTCGCGCGCGGACCACAGGAAGGTGGTCCGCCGGATATGAGTGACGAAAGGTTGGCGCATATCCTCTCGGAATCTGGCCATCTACAGATGAGAGGGGAGCACGAAATGTCGAACGACGCGGACAGCAAAAGTCCGAGCAGAATCGGTTGTCCGAGTCCGTTTAATAAAGACAGGCTGGACAGTCAGAACAGGAGACTGAAGAAATACGAGAACGATGACATTCCGCAGGAGAAGGTAGTCAGGATCTACCACGAGGAGCTGGCCAAGCTGATGGGCAGAAGGGTGGAGGATCTTCGTGGCCCGCGAGAGTTCTCTTCCAGGTAAGTGCCTAGTACCCAGAAGTTTCTCTTCTGTTACACACGTTCGTTGTTTGGCATCCATTTTTTAGAATGTTCCAGTTCCCTTTCCACTTTTTCTCCTATTCAACTGTTTCGCTCTCTTACCTTCATTCTAGAACGACGTATATTCTTTTTGCAGAGCACCTAATGTCTAATGTCCTTATGTAAAATGTCGAATAAACTATGAGGCTTGGCAAAGGTTAAATGCCTTAGCGTCGATTATCAAGTTTAAAGAGGATGTCAAAGGCTTCTGTGATCGCGGAAAACTGTACCTATGGCGTCGTTCTACGGATAAATTCATTGATAAGTCTTGGCCAGTGCACGAAACGTTGATGATATATCACTATTGTATGCCCAAGAAGAAGAAATAGAAGCTTCACTTAGAAAATCATAAAACGGATACATTAACGAAAGCATTAGGAATTCTTGCGGCAACTTTTATGACCATTGGTCGATCTACGAGTTAGAAGTTTGAATCTAAATCTGATTTATAAATAATAGAACATAAATAATTAATTACGGGCGTAAATGATCACGAGGACAGCTGAAATTCAGGCCATACAATAAAACTTATTGTTTAGAACTTTTTAAAAGTTTGAAATTTCCAAAATGATAGATACACGATACTAGGATTTAGACCCCTGCTTTCAGAACTGTCTTTGTAATCTTCAAGACCGAATGTCTCATCTTACATCGGTATTTAATCCACCAACGTCCGATAGATCTCCTGAGTCACGAAAGATTGCGGCCGAGCAAAACTCTTCTGACAAGATGACGTCCACGTCTAAAATTAATATGCCTCTATATCCGTTTCATTACTTAACACCCGAATGCCAGGTGTAAACACAAACACCTCGGCCTCGAAGCTCGAGTTACACGCTACTGTCAGAGCGTATTTCCCCTATTGATAATTATTGAGGACAGCACGCGAACTCGACTGATCGCAGTGCGATGTTTCCACACTTTTTCAGCGGTGGCCAAGGTGGACTTCCAGGCATGGAGCGTACACAGGAAGACATCAGATTGGCCCTGGACGCATATCACCGTGAACTGCAGAAATTGAACGCCACACCTGGTCAGACCCCGGCGCTGACTGGACTGCCAGGACTACCCGGACTACCGGGTCTCTTGGCGCTTCAGCAGCAAGCTCTTCAACAGCACCATTTAGCCACTAACGGTGGCGGTGTTCAGGATTTAAGTCTGGGGAAAGTGGACCCTAGAAACAAGATGATCAACGGTGTCTCGGAAGAGGAAAAAGAGAAGATGGAGGAAGCTATGAGACACGCGGGTAGCGCGTTCTCGTTGGTCAGGCCTAAACAAGAGACCACAGCGCCACAGTCGACCCCCAGTGGCTCAAGCGCGAGTTCACCACTTGGAAATTCGATTCTTCCACCCGCGATGACGCCTAGTGAGGAATTCTCTGGTGCGGCGGCGGCCAGTCCTCTCCAGAGGATGGCATCTATCACGAATAGTCTGATCAGTCAACCGTCCACGCCAACTCATCACTCGTCGAACCAGAGGCCACTGAAAGCAGTACTTCCTCCGATCACCCAGCAGCAGTTCGACATGTACAATAACTTAAACACCGAGGATATTGTGAAGAGAGTAAGTAAATTTATTTATTTTCACCTTTTAAATCCTTCCGATTACATTGGTTAGGTACGCCAATGAATACCCGAGAGCGAATGTTTTTGGAAAATATTATAAACTCGCCCTCTAACGCGTCTAATAATTGTTCCTTCAGTCATTTCTGTTGACAGCAATGTTCATTTGAAACTTGTTTTTTGCAGGTGAAGGAACAATTGTCCCAATACTCAATCTCTCAACGCCTGTTTGGTGAATCCGTGCTGGGTCTTTCTCAGGGATCCGTTTCCGATCTGCTAGCGCGTCCGAAGCCCTGGCACATGCTCACGCAGAAGGGACGCGAGCCGTTCATTAGGATGAAGATGTTCCTCGAGGACGACAACGCCGTGCACAAGCTGGTAGCCAGCCAGTACAAGATCGCCCCGGAGAAACTGATGAGGACCGGCGGCTACGGTGGCCTGCCTCGTAAGTTTAACTCAGGTCAATATAGATGTTTTGTTCTTTTACTAAATCCATAGTTTGGGAGCTCGATAATGTGTGCCGAATGCTGCTACGCTAAACCACCGATATAATAATCGAACGAGTTAGAACCATGCCCCTGCTAATCTAAGACATAGAAACATTTGATAGGGCTGTGTCTCTAGTAATTACGGTTAGGAGCTGCTAGGGAGTTTAGCATAGTATTTCAAATGGTCAAGAGGCATTATTGTCACCCGTGCAAAACCAACTGAAATCTAGAAAGGGATAAGAGTTTCCATATCTGGACAGCACTTGACTAGAACGAGTGGAAGTGTTATTTGATAGACAGCTTAACGAAGCAACATTCTGATGTCGACTGAGCTTTCGGACTATAATACGCAAGTTTACCATATATAACGTTGCTTAAACGCCCTGGTTTTTCTTATTTTACAGCTTGCGGGACGCCAATGAAGCCTATGCCGCCAACAAAACTGGTACAGGAACAGCTTCAGAACGCCGCGAAGGCACAGGCCGCGGCTCAAGCGGCTGCTCAGGCGGCAGCCCAGCATCAGCAGGAGAACCAAATGCAGCTTGGACCACCTCAACAGAGTCCTCAGCTTCCTCCACATCCGCAACCACCGCCACCGATGATGCTGACTCCTCCGGGTCCTCTTCACCCTCATGCGCAGCTCAGTATGCAGGAGTTGCAGAAGAAACAGCAACAACAGCAACAGCAACAAATCAATCTTCACTCCCCGCATCATCAGATGACACCATCGCCCCTTCGTGGACTTCACCCGCACATTTCACCCAGTGTATACGAAATGGCTGCGTTAACACAAGACCTGGACACGCAGACTATCACGACCAAGATCAAGGAAGCGTTACTGGCTAACAATATCGGCCAGAAGATCTTTGGCGAAGCTGTTCTTGGCCTTTCCCAAGGATCAGTTAGTGAATTGTTGAGCAAACCGAAACCTTGGCACATGCTCAGTATAAAAGGCCGGGAACCCTTCATCAGAATGCAACTCTGGCTATCGGACGCGCATAATGTTGATCGATTGCAGGCATTGAAGAACGAACGAAGAGAGGCCAATAAAAGACGGCGTAGCAGCGGTCCGGGTCACGACAACAGTTCAGACACATCCAGCAATGACACGGCCGAGTTCTACCACTAAGAGCAAAAAGAGGCCCTAAGGCTTGCGTTCGCCCTGGATCCGTATCCTAACGTGGCCACCATCGAATTCCTTGCCAGTGAACTGGCGCTGTCCTCAAGAACAATAACAAACTGGTTCCACAATCATCGGATGAGACTGAAACAGCAGACTCCGCACGGTCAGCCGGAGCCACAGTCCCCAAGGGAACCTGGCCAGCCGTTTGATCCAGTTCAGTTCAGATTGCTGTTAAACCAAAGACTACTGGAGATCCAGAAGGAGAGATTGGGCCTGGGCAACGTACCTCTACCTTATTCTCCGTACTTCAACCCTAACCTCGCTGCCTTAGTGGGCAACGCGTTGAAAGAACAGTGTTCCGGTCTGGACCTGTCGATGAACGCATTGAAAAGGGAGCCGAATCAGGAATTCGAGGACGAAGACGTCGAGGATGCTATGAGCAATCTCGGTAGCGAGGATTCCGAGGGGTCAGCGGGTAGTATAAAGAGGGAACCCGCGGAAACGCCCACTGCGCCGACCACCGTCAGATCGAACAGAAGAAAACCTGCCGCTCCGCAATGGGTGAACCCAGAGTGGCAAGAACCGCCTAGGACAGGTGACGAGGTGATTATCAACGGTGTATGCGTGATGCAAACAGACGATTACGGGGTTAAGAGAGAGGCAGAGGAGACTGTTAGGGTCGAACCAACTCCAGTTCAGGATAGATACGAAGAGGACGCGCAGAGTGACGTTTCCTCCGTTTCTGGTAATAACGGCCCGGACCGGGACAGTCCTCTGCCTAGTCCGAAGTCTGGACAGAACAGTCCAGCGACATCACCCAGGCCGCCCTCCACGCAGCAAATGCTGCAACAATCCACAGAGGAGAGTCCCAAGGACAACGTGGTGAAACACGAACCTGAAGAAACGTGGGATTATTAAAAGGATCTTGTCGCGAGATCGCTTGCATTAGCCTGAAACGCGAGGGTGTTCCGAAAGGGGATAATGTTGAAACATGCCAAAACTGAGTACAGTCCCAGTCTGCCGGCGACTACGGCCTAGTTAAGTTCTTAAAGAGGAAACCAGTCATAGGATTCGGCCAGGCCTGATTGGCCGAGTCCTGCCTACCACGAGGGCATTATCATAGGGAGGCAAATACAAAATAGGATACGTGAAAAAAAAAAAACAAAATACACGGACATGTGCACGTGAACTAGTGCGAGGGCTACCGGCTAGGAGGCTGCTATGATTTGTATTTGTTAGAAGACTGTACGACGAGGTAGCTTGGAAATAGCGAGGATCGTCGAAAAATTCGCTCGAAATCAGAAGAAACCTGGGTCAGTTCTATTTTCAGTTGATCCCCGACGGGGTCATCCCGGAAGGCCGATGGCAAAATGATGGAGAAAGAGGTAATCGGTTGGAGAACGGAATGGGCCCAGGTTCGTCAGAGTGCAATCTACGAGTAAACCAGTTGTTAGATCAAATTATTATTAATTTTATCTAATTACGCGTCGAGATGAGCGATTATTGCGATAATTGTGATTCATGTTATATTGTTTATACACTTCTCCTGTCCCATAGTCGTTAAGCTGTTAATGTTACTACACTCCGCTCTCCGATTACGTACCTTTTTGTCTGTTCGGTTCGAGGCGCGTCGTTTGTTTCGCGAACGAAAAGAGTTAGCAAGAAAATAAACACCTCGTCGCTCTTTTTCCTGCTTCTTGCTTGGCCAGCGATTTTAGCCGAGAGCGCTAATTACGTGGAACCGCCTGACTGTTATCAATTTTCTCCTGTCATTAGGAATACGTCGATTTTCTAGCGAGCAGGATAAAGCAACAAATCTGTCCACTTCTCAAAAAATTGTTTTCCTTTTTTATTTCCGTGTAGAAAGAGAGAGAAAAAGAGAGAGGTTAATTATACGAGACGATCGGTGATCGAGGTTATCAGTTACTACCAATATTACCGTATTACTAGGTTTACGTTATCATTGCTCTTTTATTATTACTATTATTATTATTATTATTCATTATTATTATTAATATTATTATTATTATTATTATTATTATTGATTATATTGTATTATTTTATTACCATTCGAATTCTTATCGCGATTACGATATACGGCTTCTGAAGCCAATGTGATAGAGCTTATATGCGATGATAAAATTTAAAACAAATGAAAAACGATGCGCCGGGGTAAACATTGTTTGTCCCTGCGCGTGCGAAGATGCGCCGGCATCTTTAAATCGGGTGTTAAAGCGTGCAACCGTCAGCTCGCATCCACGTTGTAAATAACTTGTACAAAGAGAAGAGACTCGGAACATTACGAGAACATTACACGTACACACGATCTTGTATATTATACTTAATTACCACACTTAACTCTCTAATAGCGATATATCTGAAAACGCGAACTGAACGCGATCGATGAGCGAAGCAAGGCTTAGCGTTGAGCTTCTAACCGGAATTGAAACGAACCCGACCGCGCGCGCCACCCAACCACCGAGTGTAACCCCCGTGTATATGGGAGGGGTGGGGGAGAGGGGGTAAAACAGAATCGAACGAGCCCTAGAGCAAAATGGAGACGCAGCGTTAAGTCTGACGGTCATGCGATCGCGACAGGAGAATATATAATTGCGAAAAAAAAATTACCGTACACTATCGAAGCCCGAGAGGAGAGAGTGAGACCAGAATACGTGTTTCTGTGTGTGTGTGTGTGTGTGCGTGTGTGTGAAAGAAAGGGGCAAAAATTATCGTCGATATTACGAATCAAACTTGTATTTACCAGATTAAATTTTAATCTTCGATTAAATTCTAGTCCGCAGTTAAAACGAACAATGGCTGAAGAGAGAGAACAGTTGAGCGTACAGGCGTGACTGAGACGGAGCGAATGCGTAAATAATGAGCGAGACAGCCAAACCAGTGAGAAGAACACTTAACAAAAAGAAGGGCATTGCTAATCGAGAGACCAGTGATCCGACATTCTGTTTCTTTTTTTCTTTCTTCTTCTTCTTCTTCTTTTTTTTTTTTAATTTACTTTCGGGGGACTAGCATCATCAGTATAACAATTATTTATCATCCTTTGCATCGCTACGATTATCACCCCTCATTATTCGTAACGTAATTATTATTATTATTAGTAGCTATCCGTTGCTCGTAACTTAATGACATCGACAGAAAAGGCTGTATATCGTCAGCGTGTTCGCTGGAATTAAAGAGCCACCAGAGGCAGAACGAAAAATATACGAAAGGATCTCAAAGTTAACCCCTTCAAAGCCCGATGAGAATCAAATCATCTATCCTGTCTCGTGAAACGATTGTCAATCTCGTTGGGTTACGACGCGGGTAGCCCGATCGTCGCCGATCGCGCGCAGCTGAACAAACCGTGAAACTTGATCCACTGGGGACGATCGGCGCGCGGTTTCTATGTTCTTACGTCAGGCACTTCCATTTCCTCTCTACCTCCCTCCCGAAATATTCATCCCCCCTCCCACCCACTCATCTCTTTTAACGGTTTTCTCCTCCCCTTGTTTCTCAACCGAGAGACATATAGGTTCTTCTGTAGATACCGAATAGACTCTAGATAGCAGATAGCTTTAATTATTTAAGCGGAAGCGGCTTTCTAGGCGAGCACCCGGGTCTCGGGTATGGAAGTTTGTAATATAGGAAAAAACGGTTCGTGCGGACACACGCGAGGAAGGTACACGCAGGACCACCGGAACGAGGGAAAAATCATATCGTAAACATAATAATGAATATTTTACAGAAGCGAGACAGTGAGAAATACAAAAAAAGAAACGAGAAACAGGTGGCGTAATGATAACTGTAGATAGACGTACCCGGGGGGTTGGGGGGGAGGGGGGATAATAAAAAAGTGAAGTTATCGAGGCTCTTTGCGTATTCGCGACTCCCGTGCCGCGGTAAAATGATCAAAAAATTTTCAAGTGGTGACAAGCGGAACGAGGTTATTATACACACGCCGCGAGAAAGAAAAGAAAACGGACATTGTCATTCAGTAGTGAAAATAATTGTATTGAAACAAAAAAAGATCGAGAAGGTTTTACCTAAAGTAATAGTTTATTGATTTGTATTTTCATTTCGAACTGTATTATAGCTTAAAGATTATCCTGTACATTGCATACACGTACACAACATACACACTCACACACGAGCACTATTGTTTTAAATTGTACGTTTATGATTATTATACGAAGATGAAAAAGAAAAATAAATAAGGTATACAAAGTATTGAAGACACACGAGAGATTTTATTATGAACTTCGAACGAATATACGGATCCTCGACGGATTTTTCTTCTTCGAATATTTTTTGTGGAAATTACGTCCCTCGAGACTGTAACAAAACATATTCTTAACGAAACCAGCGACCTCCGATATTTAGATTTGCAAAATCCAAAATTGTCTTGATTTCCTTTAAATGTACGCTTCGTTTAACGCTAAAAAATTTTATAACTTTTGTTTGTAGAACACTCGATGTCTCTTACACTACGTTCTATTACTGTTCAGATTCATTCTCATTTTATAAGGCAACCTTAGTAACAATCTACACCGATTTCAATGCCGCGGTAGTGTTAGACACGCAATACTGTAATTCAAACACGATACAAGTGGAAAATTCTCTTTACTGTATATACGTCAATGATTATATTATTCATATCGGTGTCTCCTTTCAAAAATTTCTAAATTAAAAAGACTGTATGGAAACTTACAAGTTCTTCTATTAATCCCTCCTTACTTTGGATGCATTTATTAAAATAGTAGTGGTTTGAATTAGACAGATCAGTTTATGAATAATAACGCATGACGAAAATTTTAATACATCAATATTTAAGGACATGTAACAGCAAGTGAATAAAAATTTTTAGTAGAACATGTCTCTGTATGCTACTTTATTGTATGTGGATTACGGAGAGAACAAAGAGTTGATAATATCATCAATTCATAATACAGGTACCTGTATTTCCATATCGAGGTACATATCTATTACCTGTATTCAATAAAACAGCTATCTAGATTTTCAACAGATATTCATTTTAAAAAAAGGGTTTGCTTTACCATTTTTAGATAATACAGAAAACAATCATGTGACCAAAATATCATTAATCGGTAAAGCAGAATGGCTATACAGTAGACATTCAATTCCCGCACGAGTCGAGGCTGTAGAGGGCTAAATTTCCAGGAACCGTGCAGGAATCGGTGATCAGTTACCAGAGCGCTTTTCCTACAACTCGGCCGTTCAGTTGTGCGACGCAACCGCATATAGGGTGGACTGGATATGCGCACTTGACGATTATGATAATTATCTCCGTTATTTTTAGATATCTCAGAAAAGCGTATTCACGGAAGTTTTTTAGTATGGAGAGGGCTATTACTTAGCAGTAACAGTTTCTTCGTAGGTGAAGAATCTTTTGAGTTCTCAAAGTTAATTATGTTCTATTATTAATGATATTGAAATACTATGGAATAAAAATACTTTTTTTTATATATATAAATCGATTCTTCTAAACAGGCTGCGTAATAAAGTATTAAGGTATTATGTAAAAAGTTAATAATTCGTGACATATTTTAGTGGCAAATGTCTAGCTTGGTTAGCATCTTTTACCCATTACATGTGATCCGCGAGACAAGAAGCAGTGAAATTGCCACCAATATTCATTGCAACATTTTATTAAACCAGTGTTATATACATTTCGCAGTCTGTGATGATATATGCGTGTTAAACGCGACACCGTATGTATTCCGGCCTGGGAGTGCGCTGGGCGACAGAGTAGGAGTAGGGTACACGCACGTGTGAGCAAGGGGCGTACTTCTGTTGTGCAGATAACGGTGGCGCGGGAATTGAATGCCTACTTGTGTTTACTAGTGTCTTTGTTACCTACAATTAGGAAAGTAGATCCTTTGTGCCTTTATGTACATAACCGGAGAATAGTTGGCACCGCATATAACGTATTTCAATTGCTCCTTGTTAATAAGTTGTTATTAAGATATCTGACCATTGAATATTATAAAACGGATCAGGATCAATTGTTTGGTACCATAATATTTTTGTAAAAAGACCATTTACTATCTATTTTGCAAACAACAAAGTTTTGCTTTTTTATTTGCGAATATCTCATTAAATATAATAATTGTGACGAGAGCAAATTTTTAAGATAAAAATTATTAAGAAATACTGATATTCCGCGCCAAGTATTCTTCGGTCTAAAAAGTCTTAAACAAAAAACGAAACTTACCCTATGAGGAACAATTGGGGGAAAAAAGTAAAAAGTTGTATAAAAAGTAGAACAAATACTTACTATATTTTTGAGCACAGCTACACTTCACTCGATAGTTTGAGTTACATTCAGAATACACTAGTTGTACTATGATTTTGATAAATTAAATTAAATCTCTGAAGATCACATAATAAAGAGGCAGGGAACTACGTATAAACAATAAAATATTAGATTTGCACTTGAAAATAAAAACTATCTAGATCTGCCAGTTGATAGGCCTATAGCCCCAGGATTTCAATAAAAGCTCGCCGATGTATGCGTATTTATCACAAACGGTGACAACACTTTATTAGCTCTCTTGACTTGACTCAGTATCGTTTCTCGGAGGGCGGGTAGAAAAAGCGAGAATTGGCTAAAAGCAAGTGCGACGGGATTTACGAAAAGCAGCTACGACATTATTTTTATTACGTCATCCTACGTATAAACATCGAACAATCCAACTGTATTTCAGCACGGGCTCGTTCGATTCTGCTTAATTACAATAATATATTTGTATATTTATATATATGTGTATGTATGTGTATGTGTGTGTACGTGTATGTGTAGATACATATATATATATATATATGTATAATATATATCATATATTATAAATATATACGTATATCCGTGTACGTGTTAGCTCTTTTCTTCGTATTATAAATGTAAAATACTGTCATGCATGTACTGCGGAGTCGTGACCCAAATCGAACGCATTCACATTAATTAGCACAATGTTTGTGCAAAAATTCCGATGTCACGTCTACAAAGCATACACGCTCAACGCCGATGAACGTTCATCGCACGAACATGTCTATTTCGAAGAGTCTATCATACCAAAAGATTCAACAGATCTGCGTTCTTTCAAAACGAGCCCCGACCCGTATGCGTGCGATCCTGTCACGCTCCAATTGCGTGTATTTACGAGTATATTTCGTACTTCGCTCCGATTCCAAAGAATCATATTTTGTACAAGAATGCTACAATTCTACCAGAAGGGAACAGAAAAGAACGAAGGAAATTAGACCCTAACATCGAGTTTTCTCAGTGAAAAGAATACATCTTCCCGAAGAATGCCACAACTCCGGTTATCAGGATGTTCCCAAAAGAACAGAGGCTCCAGTTATCGTGATTGCTACATGGTTTTTTATTATCAATGGATCGAAAAGTGGCAAACAACGATGCACGAACGACGACGAAACACATAGGTAGTACAGCAGAATGCCACAGGGCATAATTGCGAACTTCGTTTTTATTGTTCATCAAAATAATTTAGTACCACATTGAGTCAAATAGTCTGGCTCACTTGGAGAAGAGGATGGAGAAGAGGAAAAGTGGGTGTTTTTCACTTAAACGATGGAGGGGAATGGTAGGAAAGACCAGTCTGTAACTGGTGAATAAGTGTCTATCGTTCGAAAAAATCGGTCTTATATCCTTCAAGCATTGTTACACGAGGTCTTGACGAGTGGTTATTAAATGTTATTGTATGTGTATCGATCGATCGTTCCATTCGTAGCCTGAATTCTATTCCCATCTCGTTTTCGTCTATGTTACGTCTGCGCTATCGCTAATAGTAGTTTAGGGCTACCTAGAAAACTAGTACCTCTCGTATCTCGGACCCACGCAACGGATTATGCGCCTGAAATACTTCCGTACAGATTACACGCTCGCATGTCTCGCGTATTCACCGCCGCCCCTGCCTCTTCTAGCGTGTTTCTCGTTAATTAATAATGCACGTTGCTTGGACGCCATGCACTGCCTACTTTCATCGCCTTTCATCGCTTCTACCGGCAGTTCCCTTTCAGCGTACACTACAAGGTGTCTCCAAAGAAGAGGACATCACCTTGCAATTCTGAACAAAACAATTTTAGTAATATGTTCATAAGTGCTTCCTTCTGAAGGTATTACATTTTTATAGATTTTTACACTTGACTTTTCCGGCGCTAAAAACAGCATCGAGGTACTTTTAATTTAATAATAATACTGTATAAAAAATGTCTATAACTGGATAGAGAATGTATTTTGAGCAACTTTTTATAATGAATCGTTATCGTTCTAAGTGAACAACAACATGAATTGTAGTACAATTTCTTGATCTATGGTAAAAAGCCTGATGCATAAACTTTTTGTACAAGAACTTTTGAAAGAAGCATTTACGAATAAGTATATCGTATCTTTTTCGCTCAGAATTATATTCCTTATCGGATTTCCAGCTACGTGTTCTTTTAATTGCAGATACCTTGTATACGTACACGTACAATTGATCTCGTCGGATCTTTCCTAGACTTCGGAGGACTCTCGAATAATTCTGTCGATACTTCATACAGTATTTACTCCTATAGTGCTGACTTCTATTATTCCCATAATACTTCTTTGTACCCATAATAGTACATGGAAATACTCAGCAACATAAAACCAGACATTCAATCATACACAAATATATAAATTCCTTTAGTTCGCAGTATAAAGGGTGTTCTAATTAATTCTGTCCAGCGGTTTTTCTTGTAAGTGAGAGGAATTTACACTTGAAAATACTCAATTTAAGAATACAAAGAAGCCACACAATGCTAAATCAAGCCATCAAGCAGCAAACACTATTGGAATAAGTACTGCGTTACGCTCACATAAAGAGGACGCAGCAATGGAAAATCGAACGTTTCAAACGGACACTACTATCACGCTGCTTTTAGTCTATTTTCCACGCTCTTACGAACGTTTACATCGTATGTCTTGGCTCCTGGTATATGAACCATATGTCACTCGACCAGCGTTGGATACATTAGCCGACGTTCAGTACACGGTAAGTAATGACGCCGCGTATTTGTCTTCTGTTTGTCCATGTTGTGTCTCTTCTATGTCGATTGACATTTTTAATTGGCGTCATTTTTCCGACTTCACATCGTCAAGAACGCTCGAGGAGAGATCAGCGCAGCAAACGAGACCGAGTGACGTATCGAAGGAGGATGAAGGAGGAGGACGACGCGTACGAACGAACCAGAAAAAGATGCTTCGCTGCGTAACGATTAACTGCGAACGATCAGCTTCGAAGATCGCAATTTCATTTTTGCTCGCTCGAGGGGCTTGTCAGCGATCGACGAATTTCATGGCAATGTCCTCCTCGCGACAGAAAGCTAATTATCATTTTGACCGACTCTCCTCGAATCGTGCAGTTCGTTACCGTAAAACGTACATATAATATTAATAATTATTAATTATACTTTATTATAAATTAATTAAAGAGCTCTTAACCGTACGTGTTTATGTGTGTATAATAATATTAATATTAATAATAGTAGTATGTACGATAACTTTTTTTTTCTCAAATTTGCAGCAGCTTACTCTTTCGGCCGTTTTACTTCTTTTTGCTTTTTGTTTTTATCTCCATCGGAATTCGATGCGCATCGTTCGCCTTCTTTCCACAATCTCTGTCTTCCTCGACGAAGGTTCAACGAGACCCTGACATGGTTTGGTGACTAGCGGCACTCCCAGATCTTCACCGTTTGGTCGACGCTACCGGTGACCACATAAGGATGGCTTTTGTGAAAATCTAGAAAATGTCGCCGCATTTAAAATCAGTTCACCCACACGACCCACTTCGTACGCTGGGGAAACACTAGTTTCATCCCACACAAGTTTCCATTTCATTAACATAATCATAATCATACAACGAATCAACACTATTACAGTGTTTCATTATTTCAAATAAAACTCTTCTTCACGTGTTTTGTATAAAACATAATGTCACACTAGAAACTAGATAAAAATTCTCTCCTTTGATTTCAATTTTGTTTGAAGGAAATAGGATAATTCCGCAAGTAGTTAAATCTGTTTAAAGTATGTAGTCAACAGCAAACTATAAATGAACTGCGGTGTGTAATCCATTAAAATTCCCAGAGATGTGTACACGATATTAGGACACAGTCTAGCTGGACACAGATAATCACTTTTTCTGAGGAAGCAATCTAGCCCACTGATGTTATACCATACTATTTTCAATTTCTCGACAGTTTTGCTATATTTCTATTAGTACAAATATCATTTTCTTCGTGATTTGTTGTATTTGATTAAAAGTATCATTGTTCTTTCCATAGATCGTTATAGTATTTGTAGCTATACAAATCCTTCAAATGCCGTAATTACTGCTTTTTAACTAAGCTGTTTTATTTCTTTTGCCTTTCGCAAAGTAGTTAAACAACCATAGAAAGACTTTAATGATAAAAAAAAATAAGAAATTTTTGCTTCTTTAACTTGAGAGACCCTTTGGATATACGGATTATCAACCGACGACTGAAGGCAACATTGTAAGAGCTTAGTATTAAACATTTATCTGTAAAACTGAAATTTTCCTTACTATTAACAATGTCAGCACGCAAACATTTCCAAATCACTGCGGGTGTTTTCCTGATAAACATGACCCAACACGAAATAAATGGATTGACTACAAAAGCCATGTTTGCATTGAGACATTTCACGCTCAATTGGGGAGGCAAATCGTTTCGATGGAACTCGGGAAAAGCCTCCAGCCTGGCAGTATGTTGCGAACTGTTATAAAAAACGACAATGTAAATACCTCGACCACGACCATGGGTTACTAATGATGATCAAATTTTATGGTAACTCCCTAGTTATAAAATTTCGCGACGCAAACATACTCTTTATAATTTAACCTATTTATGTCATGTTTTATTTTTGTCGAGAAAATGCCAGCAGCAATTGATCAGTCATACTTATTAATGATATGAAGAACACTGAAATGACTCATTGTGCGTGTTTACATTGTCGCCTGTGGCAACCGGTCGTTGAGAGCAATTTGTGCGAACGGTTTTCATTCGTAAAAAGTGAAACTTGCCCTCGCTATCGATGAGGCACCAAACTTTATCTTTCTGCACTAATTGGAAATGTTACGTAACGCTACATTTTGTAGGTATCATAACAGACCTTGTAAATAATACTGAGTTTATCAATTTTTACTTTCTCAGTTTATAGGTTCAGTTGAATACCACTGTGTGTAGCATTAAGTATAGTGTGACTGATCGAAAGACAAGAACCACAAACGTAGATGCGTATAAAGTTATGTCATCGATTGGATGGCCCATAATTTGTCTATTTTACAAGTCACATTATGTTATCGACCTTACTGGCTTACTGTCAATAATACTGAATGAAAAACCTACTAATTTGAGGTATGTTTTGTTCCAGATTTTCTTCCTTTTATGGTCCCTACTCATTCAGAATCTTACTACTGGTCTCAAGTTTCGATTGTCAAGCTTTACCAAGGACTTTCTTGAGACAGAGGTGGTTACAATTCTGCTCCTCTGTGTATAAAGTACTTAAATACTGTGCAATGAAATGTATGGTAATAGTGTACAATTCGGTCGTTATCTTTGATTTTCTTCAAACTTTAATATGTTGAAAGGTGACAAACTCTCTAAAAAAGGCATAATATCATTTTAATAAATGTCGCAAACAATTATAAGTACCTTTAATTTCAAGTTACATTTGTAAGCGAAACGTAACCTAAATGTCACTATAAGTGCCGATTAAGTGAAGGAAGATAAGCAGTAAACAGTAAAAAAGGGGTGTAATTACTTATTTTTAAAGCATCATACTGATTACGGTAGGTTAAAGCTAGTGTTTAATAAAAAAACAAAACGGATACTAATAATCATCTATATATGTCACTGTCACTACTTAGTTCATTATTGCTATTTTATAACTGCTCAACCTTAGTTTCACGACCGTATATCTCACTAATAGCTTTAAATATGTGAGGAATTCTTGTTTCGTGACTTTGATATTTTCCTGGAAAAAGCTATCTCTACAGCTTCTGATTAGTATAATGCTTTGAAAATAAACAATTGAACCTCTTTTCTTACTGTTTACAGCTTATGTTCTTCCATTTACTCTGTACTTATAGTAACGTTTAGGTTGGGTTTTAGTTACAAATTTAACTTGCAATTAAAAGTACTTATAATTATTTGTGACATTTTTTCAATGATATTCCTATTTTGTAGAGAGCCCCTTTCAACATATTAAAGTTTGAAGAAAATCGGAGATACCGACTGAATTGTATAAGTACTATTACTAAACTTATTATTAGGTCGATCTAAAAAGAAATGTTTATTATATCCTTCCCCATAACACACTAAATCTAGAACACAGAGTTATGATTTAGCCTATATAAGATACTTTCTATATGTTACTTACCAACGGAGGTGCAGAAGTGGACATGCGCCTCGAGTGTTTTCATCGCCCGCTTGTTGCGCGTGTCCCAGACTCGCAGTGTTTTATCGTCAGAGGCACTGACGATAAACTTGCCACCGGGATGGAAAACGATTCCGCGCACCCAGTTGTCGTGTCCCAGGAGAGCAAACAGACAGACGCCAGCGCCGACATCCCACACGCGGATTACTTTGTCCCGCGAACCAGACGCGAGGAAGGGTCCTTCGTGAGCTCCCTTGTTATCAGCCCCTGCTGCAGCGTTGATTGAGGCTCTTGCGGTATCCGGTGCCCATGCGATGCACTCCACCACATGGTCATGGTCTCTAAGTTCAACCTGAGAATCATATTCAGTTTACAGGCCGTGATATCTTCAAAATACTCTAATACTTCATTTTTCCATTAACATACTGACTCTAGAGAATATTTCACGAGTTTGGGGTCACTACTTTATCTTCATTCTATTTTTTTTTAACAATTGAAGAAGTTGTGACAAATTTACTTAAGAGTCTATTACTCTTCTTTTCGTCGTTTGTTGAATATCTTCTGTTAAAAAGTTTAACAATGTGTAAACTTCTTTGTTAAATGACACCGTGAACCCAAACTTTCAAGCAATAGTGTATTGTTATGTACACAGTTGTGCACCTTTGTTTCCTTCGTCGCCACGTGCCAAACCCGCACTGTTTGGTCGTTTGAGCAGCTAGCGATCAGCTCGCCACAGGGACTGACTCTCGCCATCCGCACCCATTCTCTGTGTCCCGTCAACGTCTTAACACAATAACCCGTCGCAACTTCCCAGATTTTTATGGTCTTATCCCTAGAGGCGCTCACTACGAAATCCCCTTGTGGCACAAATGCGACAGAGCTGACACTGTGATCATGTCCGTGCATGGTTTTCACGCAGGCGAATGACTGGTGAAAGTCCCACAATTTAATAGACATGTCCGCACTGCATGAGACTAACAGTTTCCCGGAGACGTCGAATGAAACATCCTGTACGCTGTCGGTGTGTCCTTTCAATGTTCTCTCGAATTCACCGCTTTCGAAGTCCCACACCTAGGTAAAACATGAACAGATCAGGCGACCAGTTTTGACGGCAAGATTTCCTATAACTGACACACGAGAAAAGTTTAACGTAACTGGTTGCTACGTCGAGAAAACAGATGTTGTGGGTCCAGTTTGGTAACATCACTGGTTACTTTCTTTCAAATTAATGTACTAGTAGACTGAGGATTCTGTACATACAGTGTGTTTCTTTTAATTGGAGATGCAGGAATATCTCGTGGACTTTTCAATAAATGATGATGAATTACGTTCACTTTGTGGTTCTTGTTGTAAAGAAAGCCAGTACTTTTAAAATTCTGACACACTTAAGAAAGTGAATTTAATACGAATGGGCAGCCACTTATGGACAATAGTATATGTATATATACATTTATTATAAATTTAATATTTAAATCTCAACACAGCAAGAACTCTAAGAACCCATAATTCTTTCAATGCTTTGATAATATCTGTTTACGGATAAGTTTACTCTATATGTGGACTCCAAATAAGCCACCAGATTATATTCAGAATGTTTACTCGAATGGATTCAGCACTGCAAGCATTGATGAATGCAAGAAAATTGTGTTCAATTTCCATTTTTGTAAATTATTTTCCAAATATGAGAATTCCGAAAAATATCTATTGGTCATAGCTTCGAAATAGCAGCCATTTTGTTTCTAAATTTTCCTGTTTCATCAATTTCGACGTTGTATTTACCTTAATTGTGGCATCTTCGCTGGCAGACACTATGAGACTAAAAACCGGATGAAAAATAACTCTGTTGATGGGAGCTCTGTGTCCAGTGAGAGTAAATTTTTCGGGTGGCCTTGGTATCCACTCGGCCGGTGATCTTTTGCTGCGTGTCGGTGCACCCTCAATGAACTCTTTCTCTGCTTCAGAAAGTTTCGATTCCAATTCCATTACCTGCAAGTTTAGCAAACAATTAACTCTTCAGCCACAACAATTCGCTTCCTTTTTCGCAAACATAATGTAGATAGACTTCTTCCCTGCGGCTTCAACAAGTTATTGTGTGCAAGTTACTATTGCGAGTCTCATGCATTTCCTTTAAAAAGGAACATTCCCACTTAGGACAAGCATTACCAAGAAAGAATTACTGCTGCCAAAGTTCCAGTTTTTAAATAATCTGTACTTACACAACGTGTTTCTATTTTATAGTACACACTAGTGAAACTTATTTCCTTGTTGGTTCATACATTTTTTAAAGCTTCAGTTAATTTTGAAATTATAATTAAAATATTAGCTACTAATAACTACTACAATATACAGTAAATCCTCGATGAATGTTCGAAGGCTCCTCGACACTGAGCATTAAATATTTCATAAACTAATGGCCATACGCGCAATAGCTGAAACAAATATCATTGACTTGAGAATTGCTGTGAAAACAAGCTGTATCACTATGCTAAATTTCATTTAAAAGTCTGCGTTACACCCGGCGCGGTGACTTCTTGTCAGTGCCAAGGAGCCTTTGAACGTTCATCTAGGATTTATTGTAAATCAAATATTGTACAAGATAAATGATACGAGTTTCATTGTTTTCGTTGAAAGTATGCTAAAGACAATCCTTTCTCTTCACCACGGTGAAGAAAGAACAGACAATTAAATATCATAATAACCGTACATATTTTTGCTACATTACGGTTCTCTATATATTTCCAGCAGTTCTTACTTTCTTTTTTAGTAAACCGAAACACTTAACAACGATTATCCGTCTAATAAACTTCTGTTTCATTTTTGTTCTCAAGAATTGGCCCGGAAAACTACGAATTTACACGAATATCTGCTAGTGTGCTTGTTCCATCACTAAACCGATCTTGAGCAGAAGTTATTACTTCTCCTAAAATTCCCTCACCTTCTTCTGCAAGCGTATCACCGAGGTCCATTTCTTCTCCAAAAGACCCCCGTATTTTCTCTCCACCTCTCCGGGCATATCTGCTTCCTTCTTGAACGCCTCGAGGGCATCTTGGTAGCCATTGGTGCTGAGGTAGTCCGCGATCGCCTTATTTCTACAAGGATATATCAATTATTCCCTCACCGATCAGTCTCTAGCTTATTCTTTCACGTTCCAATTCTCTCTATTGATACAACAGTTTCTCCCGACAATATTAACGACCTAGAATTATAGGGGAACAACATATATGCTCCTCGATAATGACATTTCACTAAGAACCATCCGCCAACGTAGGTAGATACAATGGAGGGCACAGGTTGAGTACGTGGGAAAGAGATTGAAAGTCGGGCAGAATTATACCGGGGTGAAAGGCCTGAAGTCGGTCGTTCGTCTCTGTTCACCTGCTTCCACGTGATAGTACCTACGTAGCGAATTATCACAGCGAACCGGTAAACAAAACGAGCAACGATCGATTCTATGCCAGCGATATAAGACCCTTCGTTTCGAGACCGAAAGAAGCAACGGGTATTGGGCCTAAATGTGAAAAAACCGTAGAAAAGGTTTTACAAACAAATTTTAAGATTTTCCCCTTTATGAATTTACTGTAGTCTTGAGGCCCTTGAAAACGAATTTATCCGTTTATGGCGTATGCAAATGTTCAACATTGAAATAAGAACATTGACATATGTGTACAGGAGCTTACGAAAAAGTGTCTCTTGTATTTATCGTTAAAAATATAGACTCATTCTCGGAGGATGAAAGCAGAGTTGGATACAATTTTATTCGAATAATACCTTCAGGAAAGCAGGAGTATCTAACTATGAGTGTTGTCTATGACCTTTAAACAGTTAATGAGATTAAATAATTGTTTGCCATGTGTCTACTCATTCAAGAAGAAAAAAGTAGGAGTTTATATGATAGATATGTATTGTTTTATTATAACAATTGAAATTTCCATGTTTAATCAATAATAAACTGGCGTAGTCATTTTTTTTATCTTTTATTCGCTATTCGAAACTCTTTATCTACATAATGAATTTGCCCACCTCTGAACGAAAACAACCTCCTCTTTACTGAAACCTCCATGACGCTATGTTGCACTGATGTTACGTACACTTCCATTCATGAATATTAGGATATCTCTTTTGTTTGAAGAAAATATGTCTCACACAGATTACGTATCTTCCACATTCTTTATCGAGCTTTAATATTTCATAGGCCGTATTTCTTTAACACCTTCAGTGCTCTCGTACTGTTTTTCAGGTTTGTATCTCATTCAATAAATATCGTAGTACCTACTTATGAATGGAAGAATAACTATACCTTACGATTTATCGAGTCTGCTATTGTTGCTATGTTATTAACATCGAATTTTAAACAGGAAACATGTTTTGATGAAAGCAGTTTGTGATTTAAATTTAATTTTTAAGCTTTTACCCTACGGAATGTTTACCCGCAAGTTTTTTTACACCAATCTACCGTGGACAAATAAAATTTAGCGCCAGAGAATTGCTATTTTTTCATCTAATTCTTACATTATATCTAATATTAATTATGACTTATATCTGCTCGCGTTAATGGTTACAGAAATTAGCGGTATTCTGTTATCTACATATATTATGGAATAATTTCATATGATCCGACAACTACCAGATGATAAGGCCGACAAGATACAGAGTAATGTTGTACCATCGTCAATATTTACAACAAATAAAAACGTTAAGTAGTAGACACATCAGCCGGCTGTATTCAACAGCACATGTGTTACAACAAAATTTCCAAATTGACCTTTTCTAAAACGAAATTATCTATGAAAAAATCGCATTGTAAATTTTCGATTCATTTGATGTATGATGGATTACCGATTTTTCGAATAATACCACGATTTCCGATACATTTTGTATAAGCGTAAGAAGACGTGTTCCACGGTTGAAACATACCTGTGTATTTCTCGTGCACGCGTTCCTACGATGGGAAACCTTATATCTCGTATACACGATACCCGCTGACGGGTGTGTTAACGTAAATGGAAAAAGAAGAACGAAAGAGAGTGGAAAGGGGATCGTCTCCGCGTGGAAGCGATCACACGAGCCTCCCTATCCAGATGCCAGAGAATTTATGGGATCAAAAGTTGGTCCCTGCATATCAATCGAGCTTCCGTCATTAATTCCTTCCTGATGTTGTTCCGACTTTCTCCGAGGGATTAAGAAAGGCGGCTGAATAATTATCTAAACGATCAATTCGGTAGGTATCCAGGTAAAAACAGAATGTTCAGTGATCGATCTCTGTGGAGCATATTAATTCGAACAACATTCAAAGGGTTGTATTGCTATTAGATGGAAAATGTTCGTGCAAATACATATATTTGTTAAAGAATTCAAATTGAACAGAGGCAATAAATAGAAGTTTATTTTCCCTATTAACAGTTCCATTAGGTTGAAAGTAAGCGAAAAATTATGTTAAATTTTATGAAATACTAAAAATTATGTTTGTACGTTATTACATTGGATTGAGTCATAAGCAATTGCCGGAGCAGATATTTATTGACAAGGTAAGGTTCCGAACCCGAAAATTCTGATTTTAATGAAACTTCGCATTAATGTAGAGCATATTGAACAATACTTGGACCAATTTTTTTCGTCCCCGTTTTCATTCTGAAGGGGTGAAATCAGCCCTTAAGTTTCCGTTTTCTTGATATAACTTTGTAACGGTACGAGATAGAGCAAACCTGAAAATACAAAAATTGTTCAGATTTTTATGATCTATTACACTAATAAAAGAAAAATTATCTACGATGTGTTATTTATAATCAAAATGATTTTTCTATTGTTTGATATGTATATTTTTAACCGTAAGAGACAGAAGTAATCATTGCATGTAAAAAATGTGCATTTATCAATGATTTATTGAATTATGAAAACATAAATTTTATAAATTTGTTTATTTGCAAAAACAAGTTGCCACTTCTGTATTTATATGCTTATGAATATATGTGATATCTTGTGTCATTCATATTTTGTAACTTACAGAAAGTTTTACATGTGGGATTCTATTAACCGTCTTATAAAATAAGAGGAAAAGAAAATAAACGAGTTTGGTGATCGATTTCAAATAAGTGTCGTGAGCATAACTTACAATTGGAATACATTGGAATAATAATTTTGCAATATGTTTTACGCTTCTGAAAATTCCCCGTGATAGTGTAACATTACGAAAAAATTGTTGAAACATAAAAACTTGCTGTACCAGGAACAACGAATAACAGCAGATTCTCCGCAGATGGAACATGTACATAGGTGGGTTGTGTAGTACAGTGCTTTTCAGGTTTATCGGACACTCAAAACCTTTTCAAGTTCATTATCTTCCATGTATTTCTGGTACATGAAAACATTGTGATTTGTTAAATTATCAATAGAAACGGTGCTTTTGTTAAAAAATTCATGTTGCTAACTTTAATTTAATGTATTAATAAACACTGTATTTGTAATTTTTAGCCTCGTCAGGTTCATAAGGCACCCACGTTTGTCGTTCTTTTTTGTTCTTACTTGACACTAATGGGAGTGTATGTTAACAGACATGTGTGTATGGTGTCATGTTGATCGGCACGTACCTAGGTCAGGTCTTAGTTCGGCGCATTATTATGTAGTAAAATAATAATCAACGATCGCGCTGCATCAATGTAACGTGCTATGTCGTCGAAGCCGAAGACGATTTTTCTACGTCATTGACGATCCAATGTAATTGATAACACCGAAATCTGAGTGTGCATGCATCAATGAATGAATGTCTATCAAACACCAGATGATTTGAAGTCGTCAATACTGTTTTCATGGCGCGAATTAAGTATGAAGACGCTTCAGAATTTGAGTAATAGCATGCAAAGCTGAATTTTTAATGTTATTAATCGTAACGGTAATTAATCATATTTATCGTTTATTTTATTTTCTACTTATTATACGTACATGTAAGTCAGTTAATATGTAGAATCCCACATGTAAAACTTTCTATAGGTGACAAAATACGAATGACACAGATATCATATACATATGTATATGCAGAAGCATATAAGTCAAAAGGTGGAAAATTGTTTTTGCAAATAAAAAAATTTATAAAAATTATATGCTTCCATAATTCAATCTACCATTCATAAATGTACATTTTTTCCATGCAATGACTATCTCTATCTCTTACGGTTAAGAATTTATATATAAAATAACAAAAAAATCATTTTGTTTATAAATGACACATCATAGAAATTTTTTCTTTGAGTATCGTAATAGATCATTAAAAAACTGAACAATTTCTGTATTTAAAGTTTTGCTCTATCTCGTGCCGTTACAAGGTTATATCAAGAAAACGAAAAAACGCGAAAACTTTAAGGACTTATTTGACCTCTACAGAGTGATAACGGGCACGAAAAAAAAATTGCTCTAAGCATAGTTTAATATGCTCTAGATACATACGAAGTTTCATTAAAATCAGAATTTTAAGGATCAGAACCTTCCCTTGTGAGTCACTTGCAGTGACTTTATGCCAAATGTATTCGAAAAGATGATTCATCATAAAAAAAGTAAGTCAAATATTTCGAATGAAATTTTTTCAAATAAGAAACCATTTTTGATAAAATTGAATTTAAATATTTGTCTTGGTTAAGTATCAATGACCATGCGTTTTTGACCAACAATGGTGTAATGAATACTGTACCGACGTGTAAACAGCTGAATTCAGGTGCAAGTTGTACCAACTTAGTATTTTTTCACAGATATAGAAAAATAATGGCAATAAATATTGTAATTATGAATAAAGATAACAATGATAATTACAATTCTTTAAAGTCAGATTCTAGTACTTTATGGAAACTACCATATTTTTATAATTTTAAAACATTCCAGGTCAAAACTGGAGAACTTCGAACGCATCTTGCTGAATTATTACGGTGTACATTAAAGTCTATAACCACGAGTTTAGCGACTTACTGGTTTCAAACATTTTTCATGGTGGAAAACCGCAACGAGATATTATTATACAGATATGAATTAATATTGTCTGTTCTACAGACACATGCTGACGTACAGTACAATCTATTGTAACTATTCAGAGTATTATAAAAATGTT